CAGACGTGGGATATTTGTTTTATCAGATGAAAGACTTCGCCTTTTATTATGTTTAATTTACCTTCCGATTCAAACTATGGTCTTCTTTTTGTTAGTCTATCCAATAAAAGCTCAATAAAATAAGGGCTGTTATGAGAAGACATTTAAAAAAACATCATGTTGTATAAATACTTTACTTTCAGCAAGATTAGGTTAATTTGAAAAACATCCGCTACATGTGTTTAAAATGTGAAATATTTTCATCAACCTTTCAAAATATTCAAATATGATCGACTAAAATATTTCCGTATCCTATAGTTAATTTCATAGCATAAAAAGAGCAACTGATTACCAGCATAGACAGAAAATATCCACTCAGATGAAATACAGTAGTGTAACTCTGATTAAACCGGATTGTAATTTTATTGATTGCTGGTTTAGTTTAATCCCACAGAAAAGCTCCTTCGTTGAGAGATCCAGCTGTTTATTCCAGCAGGTTAAACCTGCTGTTTTTCCAGGCTTTTTAACAGGATAAACAGCTCTCTTTAGATTCCCTTCGCCATGGGCTTTCCACTGGAGCACCATAAACGCTTACGTTTGGCTGAGCAGAGGAATAAAACATAAAAAAAATGCCTATTTCAAGACTGGCCGGGCTGAAATGCAGCACATCAGTGGGAGTCAGCACATATTGTAGGGTTTTCTATATTCTGAACCTGAGGTCTCTCAGTAATGTCTGTGTTATTATGCTGCAGAGCCCTGTTGGCATTTATGGATTTAAGCATAAGTAACTTTGCACTGAGGAGTGAGCCATGCAGACTGAAAGGAAGTGTTTTCCAGGATCCTTGCAGAGTTAAATATTCACATCTTTTCTCAAATCAATGCAGGAAAAAGAAGTTGACCTGCTGCCGCCGACTAACTCCATTCTCCTCTGATTTCCACTCAGCGTTACTGGAAGGACACTCACCCGGCCGTTGACCTCGCCTCGCCACCAGCCGTTGGCTCCAGACTTTGTGTAGATCTTCACCACGTCTCCCTCCTGCAGCGACAGCTCCCGGGTGTCTCGAGAGCTGAAGTCGTAGCGCGCTATGGCCAAACCAATAACTTTAGGTGTCAGCACTAGAGGGGGAAAAAAAAATTGGAATTCAAATCAGAGATACTTTATTGATTTTAAAGGGGAATAAAATGCTGAAATCAGAACCTTTTTTTTCAATGAGTTGTAGATGCAATTTAGAAAAAAACATGGACAGTTACACATCAGGTCTGAACAAACATACAGACAGCCTTATTGATGCAGACAGAGACAAGGACAAACCTAACATATAAAGTTTGAAATTAAAGTAAATAAATGAAGGGATTTCAGAAACAGGTCCTGCTACCCCTGTTGTCATATTTCTCAAATCTTGATCCAAATATTTAGAAAAATCCATCTGAATATATTTGGAGTAAAAAGGAATAATAGTTTTGCAATAGATATAATACGACAGAGAGGACTACTGCTCTTAGACACTATTTCAAAGGGGAAAAACAAAAGTTTATAATGTCCATGGCTGCAAGGGATGAGCTGCTCACCTTTAATTCTAAAACTAATCGAAAAAATAAAAATGCATATTTACACACAGGATTAAACGTAACCATTAGGTTTTCTAAATTTAATTGGTTCGCTTTGGATTAAAACAAAATAAGAATATCTAAAAAAACACTTTTGGCCCACTGTAAAGTGCGGTGGAGGATCTGTGATGCTGTGGGCTTGTTTCTTTAACATGAGCTTTTTGCAGTACCAGAGCATTCTAAAAAAATGCGTTGTACCTGATGTTTAACCATAAATATTTATCCTCCATGTGTTGTTTTACAAGGCTTAAAATTACATTTTCAAAGCGACATCAAATTACGATCATAAAGGATGAAAGTTTTTTTGCACACCTTTTAAAAAAGAGAAAGGTGCTACATGATGAAACCAAGTTTATAGGAGATCAGTAGATCGTTATTCTTGATCATTTACAGTTAAAAAAATATGCAGAGCAGTAACTGATGTTAGAAATTATTAAACTTTCTACAGAACACTTAATATCTTCTTTTTAATAGAGGTAGACCAGCATGAGCGCCCTGACACCTGTACGTGTGGGTAAGAGATTAAATGTCTCCTGTTGAGGAGAAAGTAGCTGGAGAGACAGATGTGGAGTAGGTGGAGCTAGTTACCAGGGCTCCAGCCCGCCCTGCCGCCTTTCCTCCTGTCCAGACCGCCTGCTCGGCCTGGGCTGACAGGTTGAAATGGAATGTCAGACCTCTAGAACCTGGCTGTGGGGATAGAATATCTAATATAGAGGAGCTCTGTGTACACTTCCACCCTTTCCTTGACGGACAGACCCAGAGGCACACACATACACACATCAGACACAGCTATATAAAAAAAAAGCCTCACATGCCATTTCCTTTTCCCAACAGCAATATAACGTGCAAAAAAAAAACAAAAACACATGGATTTCCAAACCCCACATCCTATGCATGCAGACGTCCAAACCACAGAACATGTTCTCCATATAGGATGGCCAGTGTGCACACATAACTATGTAAGAGTCGACACGGTGCAATGGGAGGCTAGATGAAAGGTGTAAAAGCTGAGATTCGTGCAATGATGTGAAGGCGCCGAGCTGCAGGCAGCATGCTAAGTAGCCTTCAGCATTAAGAGGAACGGGAGACGGAGTGAAGCTGTACCTGTACCTGACCAGAAGGGAGCAGAGGAAGGAGGCATAAAGCTGTAGCCGGCAGGAGTTACGAGAGAGAGGCCGCAGAGCAATGGAGCTATGGCAGGGCGGGGCCAGGCAGTGGGAGGGAAGGGTCGCAGAGATGCAGGGGGGGAGAAACAGAAGCAAAGAAGAAAAAATGAAAAATAACATGTTTTTTTTCTAAATAAATTTTCAAACCTCAGGGTTTTTTTGTTTTTTTTTTCAAATCCATGTCTTAAGGATTGGTTTTAATGTTCTTTTAAGATATGTTTGCTTCTCCAATTATCAGGACTTTTTAATCTGGTATATAACATCTTCAAACTGTAAGAAACTATTTAAGTTACACCAGAAAATAGCTTTCTACATTGGAGCCCAAACGCAGCGATCCTGCTCAGTGTGAGGCATGGAGGGAAACAAAGTGCAGGTAATTCACCTCCCGTATACACAGATCCAGAACATTTAGACTGCAGGGGGAACATAAAGTTTAAAGGCCGTTCCCTGCAGAGCTTTTGTTGCTGCAATGCGTTCAGCTTTTATAACTGATTTACTGTATAGATCCTGACAATCTGAGGGTCCATAAATGCTTCTGAAATAACAAGACATTTCACATATAACTCTGCCCTCTTTTACCAGACTGACTTTACTGAAATTATAAGAAAATCTTGATACTTTTAACTGAAATATAACACATTTTCGTACTGATGAAGGTTCTCAGTCATCCAGGTCATAGTCATTCCGTAAAAATTCAAAAAATATCCACTGGAAAACCAAGTCCAGTGGATATTTTTTGAATTTTTACGGAAAAACATATCTTTGTAAAAAAATAAATAAAAAACTTTCATGTTTTCAAAACTATCTTTTAATTTTTTCACAGCAGGATTTCCTGTAGGTTGTGTACATTTGATTTTAGACTTCCAAGGCATTTATGATTGGAGTTAAGGTCCTAAAAGATCAATTAAAAGCAATTTTATTTCATACTTTTATGAAATTTCTTAGCTAAGAACTAAGTAAACAATTAATAAAATTGTTATAGTACATAGCTTATCTAGCTAAGGACTTAAATTACGAATACACAATAACTTCAGAAAGTTTTATATAAATATACAGAGAGTATTATAACAAGAATTTAAACAAAGCATGTAGTCATGAGCAGAATTCCTTATTGTTCTGCTGCCTCCTGGGGTTTGTGGTTTTGTAACAACAGGCTTAGAGCTAATTTCTTCCTACCAATTACAAACAATCAAAACATTTCTAAATAAATAAATAAATAAATAAACAAACCATACTATGACTGCAATTATCAATTATTCTGCAAATCAACTAATCCTTTTATTATTATTGCAGTTCGTTGTTAAATAACTGTATGCTTTCTGGAAGATTATTCATATAATTTGAACCAAGGGAAGCTAAAGCTATGCTACAGGAGTTCTGGCAGGAAAATAAAATGACACAAAGGCTAAACGTCTGTATAGTTAATACAGTTTTTAAGTAAATTATTCTGTAATATTTTTGCTGTTTAGGGTCTTTAGACACCACATAATCATCAATTAATTGATGATGATGGTTTAAATAATTGACTAATGTGATTAACTGTTTTTAGATCTGAGCCAAACAACAGAAACTACTGGTAATGTTCACATTTAAGATTTAACAGAACATTACTAACATTATACATTTGGAGATATTTACATTTTTAGGTCCTAAAATCTGGATTGATAAATGAAAAAAAGAAGAATACATTAGATATATGTCATTTACTAGGGAGGACAAGTCGGGGACAGTGTTTTCTCATGGGGGCACATAGTAAATGCAAACACACAGAAAACAGCTGAAGAGCGAATATTTTTGCTATACAACGTGAGCCACAAAGCCAAGGTTGTATATATCTGATCTAACAGAAACAAACCGTGATCCTATCTGAATATGGCTGGAGCTTAAAGCTACGGGTAAGTATATAATGATACGATAAATTGTAAAGACAAAAGTACCTCTTGCAAAAACATCCCTTCTGTCAGCGCAAATCATCACAAGATATTGATTTTTTATTACACTGCGATCTCAATAAGTAAGAATAAGTAAGAATATCTCAAAATAAGTACATTTACCTAATATGATCTGCAAAGGAATGAGTGTTTTTGACTTTATGATAAGATAATTAGTTATAATGCATTTGAAATAGGACAATAGATGTGTTTTTCTTATTTTAATTTATTCTTGGAAATTTGTCTTAATAAATCGTTAATTTTCCGTCTACTCAGGTGTAGAAGGAAAATGCTCTTATTAAAAGAATTAATTATTTAGACTTAATTTTTTGCTGTTTATGTTTTCCATACAGGCCACTTCACTACTTTTTAGAACCTTGCATGCAATAAACCATGAGCGTTACCAGAAAGGAGCTAACATGGACCAGTTCCTCTGTAGAACTGCTTCTGTATGCTCCTGTACTTTAAACATAAAACCAAATCAATTTCTTATCATAATATGCGCTGACCGAGGAGAGCGTAGAGTGCAAAGTTTACTTGAACAATTATTAAGAAATCAAGGTTTGTCACTCTAAGCTTCTGTTGAATCAAGATATGATCCGTTTTATCATCTAGATCAAGGGTCTGCATATTTGACTCACTTAATATGGTAAATGATTCCCTATTTTTGTGTTACTCTTTTGCTTTCCCCCAAGGAAAAAATGCTTAATTTGGTTTAAAACCACCATTTCGTCAAATTATTAAGGCATTTAACCTGCAGATAATCCCATTTGGGAAACTTGTCTCTGTGTTTGAGATCAACTCTACCCAAAGCAGTGTGTATTAGCCATGTAAAACCGAAACTCCCACAGCGGCAGATAAATGCTCCAACTTTGTGAAAAATGTTCTGCTTTGAACAATCCAATTGGCGAGTAAACTGGTCCAAGTTATTGATATGCTGTAAGGAGAGCAGGGCTCTAGTGGTTTTTAAAATGAATTCTAATCAGGGCGCTTAGAGACAGCTCAGTAAGCCCTGATGGTTTCAGGGAACGAGCAATATGAAGAGGGATCGCACAGCCGCCGAGACGCCAGCTGAATTTCACATGCTTTATTTTTGAACAATCTGATTTGTGTGATTGCTGCGATTCAGCACACACACACACCCACGTCAATGCCGCCCAAACACACACAGTTAGAGCATCATTTTGTGAGAGACTGAAGAAGAGTGTAAAAATCCAATCAGGAGCCAATAGTCCCCACTCAGACTGTGAGCTGAAACAGCTCCACGGCTCCATGTTTGTTTATGTTCCCAGTTAACACTGGTGGTATCGCGTTATCAATCAGCTGTCCCTCTCCGAAAGCTGTCCGAAGGAGAAAGTGTTAATTAGGAGCTTTCCAGCAGTGCTCAGGGAATGACTGCGATAATAAACAGAAGTCATTTAAATGTGGAAGAGAGGAAATGAATTCTGCACTCCAGGAGCGGGCTGCCATGTAAGATGGAGGGACTTACAGCAGAACAAAACAAATTTGGACCAGAGCTGCCTAGACTTGCACTTTGAAGCCAAGCCTGGACTACTGAAACCCAACAGCCTCGTGCAATCTGTTCACATTTCTGACACGATCGGCCGCGAGCACAGCGGCGCGCAGGCTTTAGATGAAACCTTATTTTCCACTCATTGTGATGTCAGAGTTTTCATTCCCCACTGATGGCCAGCTCACATATGCTCTGGTGGCATTTTTCAGCCTGTGCGAGGTGAATAAGGAAACATTAGGCTCTGATAAGGCAAGCTGCCCTCCGTTGTTCACTCACCTGGTTACATAAAGTTAAATCTATCGATATGGAAAACATGCCTAAATCATCATTATTTCTGATTATATATATACTTGTTTAGTCTATAATCCTTCCTGAGATCAAAGTCCAAGAAGGTCTTTGCTTGCAAACGTGATCTCATTAAAGAGTTGCCTTCAGGTTCAGACAAATTTTCACATCAGAACTGGTGTCTCCTTTCATTCATCATTGACAAATAAAAGGGTGAATCTCAGGGAATTCAGGTTAGCAACAGTAATGAAAGAGTTGCAGGGTTACGGAGGCTGGATGAATAAATAATCTACAATGTTTGGGTACAGTTTGAAGCATCTGGAGTGATGGCGTCATTCAGAGGTGCTGCTGGGTTTTGTTCACCAAAGAATAAACAGTTTATTCCTATGAAGGTGGAAAGAAAGGAAATCCATCTCCTTAAATCAACAGCTCAGCATCTGTCAGACAGAACATAACAACCCTCACTCATGCTGACGGGAACGCTGAGGGTAAAGACTGGAAAAATCCTTTGGTTCATCAACTTTACAACCACAACTTTATACAGAACCATGGGAACTGATTCAGATTATTAGATTACAACATTTAAAAACTATAATACAACAGACCAAAACAACAAACAGCTTGAAGGATTTAGCACTGTTTTGAAGGGAACTACATGAAAAATGGGAAAACTTGGCACCAGCTTTGGTCAGATTCCCTTAAAAAAAAAAAAAAAAGTGACCCCCTCTTGCATATTTTTTTAGTCTGACTCCACCCTTTCTGAATTTCAGAGTCTGACCGGAAGATCTTCTCTTAAGATCTTCATGTCTAAAAATCATGACAGAAAGATTTTTTTAGTACAAAGATTGATTTTTAAAAAGGAATTAAGCCTGGCGTACACTGTACGATTTATTCAATCATTGCACGCAGCTACAGCTCACACTGTACGATGAAACCGCAGGGTTTAAAAGTTCACAGCTCATGATGTATGTTCTCACACTGTGCAACCCGACTATCTAATGGAATCTGGCTGCTTATACGCATGCTTCTGTGTTTTCGTCTGAGAGGAAGAAGAAGAATCCTTGTTAGTACATTCACACAGAGCTATCTGAAAAGGATGGCCGACTGAATTTCAAAAACACATTTGCTGATCAGGAGGTGGTCGTGAGTTGCTGATTACCTCCTGTACACTATACGACGCATGATCAGGCTGAAGTCGGCCCGATTGAAAAATTCTCGCACGACTGGAAAATTGTCCCGAAAAGGGCAAAATAATTGTACAGTGCATGGCCGGCTTTAAAGGGGACCAGCCAAGAACCCATCAAGGAAAGTGGGAAAATTTTGAAACAAAAACAAAATAGTGTTTTTTGAGTTTTGCCTCAATTTGTTTTCTACATTACCAATGGAAAACCAAACAAAGGATACACATGTGATCCCATTTATTAACATATTTAGTGTAACTGCATCTCATGTCCACAGATTTGGTTTTTATCATATTTGTTCTATAAGAGTTCAAGCGGCAGTCTTCCAGGAGCAGCTGTTATGTTGGCATACATTAACCCATTTATCTTTTTTTGTTACCTTATATAAAGGAGTCTGGTCAGATCAAAGAGCAGATATGTGTGATGGGACTCTAGATGATAGAGCCTTTGGTCATGATATTAACCTTATCTGTCACCAACTGTAACCAGAACAGCTTGTTAACAAACTGTCCTTAAAGTAACAGTAGCTGAGTTTCCATTACAGATTTGATATTCTGTTAAATTCCAAACTGCAGTGTTTTACAATTGTGATTGAACACATAAGATAGATCCATACTCCAACCACAGCTCCTCTAACTACTTCTGTTCTTCTTCTTTGTCTTTCTACAAGGAAGTAAGGTCCAGTTGTACTGTAGATACTTTTATGATGCAAAAAAAGGGTTTCCATTCAAGTTTAGCAAAGTATAAGAATTTCTATAGGGCCAAAAAAAAACCTCATACAGGTGTGTTTTTTTTTTTTTATTGTAGTGTTTCCATTTAGTCAATTTATTTTTGCATTCACTATTTGAGCAAATTAATGGTTAATGGAGATACATATATGGACTGATATTTGGACTACACTTAGTCCAATGACGGTGTCTAAAATTGGACAATGCATCTTTGGAAATGTATCACTGTCGAGTTTTTTAAGGATACTAGCCATGAGAGGGTGGGGCAAGAAATGCCTGTACCCTGATAATTGGGGAATTATGAAAACCTTTGCCACAGTGCTGTAATGTAATCGGTCTACAAGTGCGGCTTTTGAAGGAGACAACCCCTGAAATTCAAAAACACACAAGGTCTACTTGCAAAAAGTACAATTTGACAACAAACCAGACCAAACAACAAAATTGAATCCATATGTGACCGAAGCAACCAGACAAGAAGACCAGAGGACTTAGATGGGACAGCGTTTATTCACGTAATCCACAAACCTGGACTTTATGTAGAGTGGAAAAGCCGAGATTGAATAACGGCTAAGAAAAGGGCGGTTTAAAGTTTACCGAAAGGTACTACGGGATGCAGTGAAACGTGTTATCAGATGAGACAAAAATATTTTCTTCCCAAAGTGCAAAACACTATGCACATACTGTAAATCCGACTTTGAAACACGGTGGTGGCAGCATCAGCCAATGGGAATGTTTGTCTTTAACAAGCAAGTTAAACTGGTCAGAACTGATTGACAGTAGAAGGAGCTAAATATATACAGTAGGAGAACCAGGAAAACCACCTAGTCTTAAATGAACATTCATGTTCTGAACGTTCTCAATGCTATAAAGAAATAAACTACATCAGACTAAATTACATGAAAGCTTGAAGCTATCAAGGGGTTTACTTGCTCCTGCCAAAAACATTAAAAGGTTTTGACTTACTTTCAAACTTAAGCTAAACAATATAATAGATTTAAACAGTTGCATATATCAAATGACATCATTTGGATGAGATATTAACACTTCAAGTCGAGTTATGAATGTTAATTCATTGAAATGATCTGTCCTCCATGAAGCTCTAATTGATTTGATCTTCACTAATCAGCCAGGGAGTGTTATCAAATCTAATACCATGCTTAGGGAATTCTCCAACCGCTGCCTGACAGCGAGTCAAAACCCATTAACATCACAGGAGGCTGAAATGCTGGTAACAGTGACTCATTGTGCACCTCTTTAGAAGCAGCCAAGATGTTCCCGTCTGAATTAAAGCAGCGTTCAAGAGACAGCGCTATCTGCAGGTAACCTGTCACTTGGTTAAATGTTTTAGATTCTTCTTAATGCTTTTTCCTTTTAATCTCCAAGCTTTGGCACAAGGTGATTAAAGGTGTAGTTGGTATTTTATCACAAACGATACACGGAGCTAAACATACCTGTTTATTCTGGTTGTATTGTAGATGTAGATTTAAAATAAGATCAAATTAAAGCAAAATCAGGAAATAATAAAAGCACTTTTTTTTTTAAATATATCATTTTAACCTGTTAACTGGCCAGTTACACTCAACTGTGAAAAGGCAAAAAATAATTGTTTTTAAAAAATTATCTTTTAGGGATTTTTTACAACAGAAAAAGCAGCAATTGTTCCCTCAGTTGCTTTAGCATATGCATTGGTAGAAAAAATATTCTCAAAAAAACTGCAGGTTTTATTGATTCTGTATCATTGTCTATAAAAAGACTATTTAAAATGTAAAAAAAAAAAAAAAAAAGTTATTTATACATCTGAGGGTTTAAAAAATGAGGTTTCAATACCATAAAAAAGCTGTTGTATTAGAGATTACATACTGAAACTTGTACTCACTGTTGCTGCCTGGCCGGCTGAAGCGGTGCACGGCGGCGTTCTCCGGTTCCCGGTAGGGGAACTGCAGGGTGGTATCCAGGCTCTTAAAGCCTTCCCTCAAAGAGTGGTGTTTGTAGTACTCAATCAGCTCCTTTATACAGAAGACAAACATAGTCTCATTAAAACCAACAATGGAGTCAGTTGGAATAAGAACTTTTATGGCATCTAGTAGAAAATCTGAGGTAAGAAAATCATCCACCATAAACAGTGTGTTGGCATTACACTGGATGATTGAGAAGTTTTGCAGGTCAGTATACATATATTTAACCAGAGCTTTCTTTGTTCACATGGTTAAAATTAAACTCCATTGTTGACACTTCATTACATGAACATTATGGTTAAGTTATTAATAAAAAAAGCAGAAACAGGAAGGAAGGAAACTCACAATTATGCTCCTAAATTTCTTGTTCTCTGCAATGTAGTAGCAGCCCTCCTTGGTCAGGATCTTTATGTGCTTCACGTCGTTGTTGTACCTGTGGGCCATTGAATAAGTTATGAGTGTAATTTCCCTCTCTGATCACCACCATCGATCCGCGGCCGGCCTCTGGCCCTCGCACGGAGCTCGGGCCATTCCTCTAAAGCACGGGGTCCTGGAGGTTTGTGACACCATGAGAATGATGGTGGTGGGGGAGCCAAGGTGCACGCGAGGGTGAAAATGCTTTTCAGAGTTTTGTGTTTGGGTTTGCATTAACATTATAGCTGATTGGGGGTTGGGTCAAATTTTATAGACGAGAGTTTATATAAAGGACATCTGTCTTTTACAGTGTTGCTTTGTAAGCAACACACCATGCTGATTTTGTTCACCGTTTTTGTTCAGACAAATCCAGCTGATTTAGTTGAGGAGGACAGTATTAGAGCTGGGCCACCATCGACTGTACTATGTGATATATTCCACAGAGGTTTTGATCGTGCAGAGGCATGGATTAGGCTGAAATCTTGTGGAGACTCTCATCGACTCTTACGAGGTCTCAAAAGAAACAAGATTGAGTTCTTCCCAACTAAAAAGGCTGCACAAAAGTGATGTGATAGCTGCAAAAATATCATTAAAGTTCTACCACAAACATGCTGCTGCATTACTACTGTTTCCTCAACATCCAACAGACAACTATCTATACACATGTCACCACAAAAGAGCTTCAAGATTAAACACTATTCCAGTATTAAGTCTTTAAAAGGTTTAAGCTTAACAGTGACAAGGGAACAATTCACATCCCTAAACTTTGTTACAATCTATTACGTTAGAAACATAAACCTCCTTTTATCTGACAATACAAAGTACAGAATAATTGTGACTTAAATAAAAAAGCATATATGGTAAACGGTACATGTAACTGTAGAGTTAGAGCAGCTCCTAAATAATGAAAATGTAACATTTAACCTTTACATCCATCAATCCATCCATTTTCTGACACGCTTAATCCCAAGTGGGGTCGCGAGTGGTTCTGGAGCCTATCTCCATTTTACCTTTACATTGTATATGTTAAAACATATAAGTGTATTTTGGTTTTTATGTTATAAAGAAATACACATGATCTGCCTTTTGTGTCTCCATTTGTATTTGATTTGTTTGGCTCTACCTTTCTGTCACCTCATCCAAAACAATGAGTTTAACCTGAGTTATTTCTATATTAATGCTGCTTTATGTTTAGGGTGCTGGAGGACATAGGGATCCCTTTTCATTCTTCTTCTTCATTCTATCACTGTTCTCCCATTCTGCAGTATTTGTTAAGTCCACTCCTAAATGTATGCTTTCCCTGCTTTTTCTCATGATCTGCTCTGTTCTTTTATGGCTGTGGCTCCATCCTGGAGTGAAATATCAGCTGTGCTGCTGCCATCAACACCTTTGTTTATGTTGGAGCTTGGTCTGTTTTTCAGTGTAGTCCTGTTTCTCTGACTGTGACTAACTGAATGTGTTCTCTTTAATCCTCTGACTGGGAACTCGCCCGGAGCTCATCTTCCTGACTGTTTCTTTTCTGGGTCGGACCACCTGTAGAGCTGGTTAACAGTTGCCTTTTTAATCTCTGTTTCTGTATGTCTGCTTCTGTCTCCTTGAGCCCCAGTCGGCCTCGGCAAATGGGCGCTCACACTGAGCCTGGTTCTGCTGGAGCTTTCCTCCAGTTAAAAGGCAGTTTTCCTCTCCACTGTCGCTACATGCACGCTTGGTGTGAGGGATTGCTTAAGAGTTAATAACAAAATGCAAGCGACATTGTCGCCACAAACTCATCCAGGAGGAGCATGTCTTGCAAATCAATGACTCGATGCAATCATCTTTATAGAAACTGTACGATCTGCTTGAATTGTCTGTATAAAGTACCTTGAAAATGACATGTGTTGGGAGTTGGCGCTATATTAATAAACTGAATTGATTTTAGGTGCTTTATTTAACCACCACTTGCATTGAAGTAGAAGGCAGTTGCATCTTTTTAATGACATTTTACAAGCTGGTTAGAATAATTTTGATAAGCTCTTCAAAAATATGACTAAATATGTAATTAAAACTTCACCAGATGTACGAAATGAAAATAAATAGTAAAAATCAGCTTAACAGGGATATTCCTAAGAACCAGGAACAAATAAAAATGCACTTAAAGAAGAAAACTTGTTTTGCACAGTATAAAGACTGCTAAGACTTGAACATCAGTGTGCTTCTTATAAAAAAACAAAAAAACAAAAGCTGTTTATGTGGCTCTGATGTTGAATGGTAATGATTACATTCAACCCAGGAGAGGCCGCTGTCCAAATGTGGTTAACCATAGTCTTCACCTCGGGATGGGCACATCGCCCTTCCCAACAAGGTACAAATTAGTCTGTCAAGTTCTGTAGTGGAGGCTGAAGCTACATCTGGTCAATACTGTGGTTTGGCTAACCAATAACAACACATCCATGGAGACACAGGAAAACCGCCATGTAACAGTGAGTACAAGAAAAAGAGACACTAATAATCTCGGCCTGTGTAAAGACAGCTTGGCTGTACGCTTGGCTAAACTAAACCCAACATCTGCAGCGTACCAGTTCACCCAGTGAAAAGCAATGTATGAGAAAAAGTGGCATCTCACAGAAATCTATTAGTTTTAAATACAATAAAGCCTGATGTATGGTGTAAGACTTACTTTATGCTGATGGCGTACTCTGTGAACTCCTTGCTGCGATGGCGGACCAAATAGGTGCTGTTGACCCTGTTGATGAGTTCTGCTTCAGCCTGAAATCTCTCCATCGGACCAGCAAACCTATGACGGTAAATAAGAAAGAAGATTCCGTCATTCATGCAAAGAAAAATAACATTCTTTACCTTTTTCTAAGGTAACATTGGGAACACGTAGTGTAGGTCCTTGAGGGTTTGGACCTTGATAGGACCCTTTATAGTTAGCATCAGCTGTGCACAATTCCTTTTTAAGCAAAAATAGCTCAGTCAGAGGGAATTGGGTGTGTCTATGTTCATAGAGCAGATCTCAATTCAAGCCACATATTCTCTGTTACAGTTTGGACTTTGATTGGGTCGTTCTAACACATGATTGTGCTTTGATGCAAACCATTGTAGCTCCAGCCTTAAGACTCAACTTGGAGAAGGGTCAGTCCCTGCTAAAGAAAAGCCTTTCCATATCATGATGCTGTAACTTCAACTAATCGAAAAAAGGACGCTGTGCTAAGTTTTAGGCCAAGTATAATTGTGTTAGACCATTTTAATACTAGAGAACCTTCAGTCACATCTTTGTGGTCTCTCCTGTCCTCTACATGGCGTTTGGCCAAACTGAAAACAGAATTCATTCTAAAGTCTCTTTCTTGTTTCCACTTTTGCGTACAGATCAGCCCTTTCAAGCACACAACTAGAGGCTGTCAGATTGCTCCAAATGAGCTGTGGATCTCTGCAGTTTCTACAGAGATTCTAGGGGTCCTCTTGGCTGTTTCTCTGATCAATGTTTACTTGTCAGTTTAGCTGGACAGCAAGGTCTTGTTGAATTGTACTGTAGAAGGTAATGGTGCTTTCTTTACACGTCACTAGAGCCTACATACTGACTGGTCTATGCTGTTTCTGAAGCAAACTGCCGGATTTTGTTTAGGGGCATCAGGGTAAAATAAAGAATGGAAGTAAATAGTAATGCATGCCACACTTTTTATATTTTAATTTAACAGATAAAAAAATGGTATGTTATTGAAAAAAATATTTTAAAACATGTCAAAGGTATAGTGGAAGATGCTGTTTTTCTGAGTGGACCATCAGAATAAGTGGTCCTCCTAATACTCAGTCATTCTGGAATATGTTTGCGTAAGGCGGTCCTCGTCTTCATTTTCATTTACCGATGGTGAGTCTGACATAGTGGAACAATAGCAAATCTTCTTTTGAAATGTAAGCTTGTATGAGTGCTACAAACAGCAACAACAGAGTACGCATGAGGAGAAATTGGCTTTTGCATGTGCTCACAATTGTTTAACTGTGGTTCCCTCTCAGGAGCGGGTGTAGGGTTTTGCATGTGAGTTTCTTTTTTAAGTAAAGAGGGCGGGTCTTTTCAAAAATTCCCAAAAACCCTTCACTATATCTTTAAGGTTAGTTGCTGTAATCTGACATAAAGTCAAAAGTAACCAACTTCAGCAAGGTATTGCATATTGTATCTGCAAACAAAATGAGGTAAAACAGCAAAATGAAAGTAAAATAAAATAAGTCCATAAGCTAAAATAAGTCCAAATTCAATGTTCAAGACCATTAGGTATGAATAGAGACTGCTTCATTTCTCTAATGACTCCAAAGGATAGAAACAATCTGAACTCACCACAGCTGTGAGGAGTAATCAACGGGCTTTGGCACCTGCAGGGAGGAAGAAAAAAAATCAATGCATGAGTCTGTTATTTACCTGAGGCAGTCAAAGGACGCGCGTCATTCTGGTCCCATAAAATGATACGCCAAATCTGCTGGTCTGTTTTAAAGTTCATATTAGGATGTTACACAAGTAAAACCGCTTAGTGCTCCTACAGATACGGCAATACGACTTTAGCATCTGGAGTGAATTACGTATTTCTGAAGCAGTCTAGGTAACTGTCTATTTGTGGCATAAACAAAGCAGCCATAAAAATGAAGGAAAAACTTTAAATCCGATAAAATGGTGTCTTAGAAGTTATATGTATAAAACCCATTTCATATATATTCTCTTGTTTTTGAAGAAATGAAGACATACTAATATCTAATCTTACTTTTTTTTATCTTTGGGAAAAGAAATTGATTTAATTGTTGCTACTGTTCAATAATTAACTAGACTTTGCTTGTTAAAGAAATATCTTCTACAAAAGCTGAACTAGTTTGTGGTTATAAAGGCATGCACTGCCATAACAACAGTAGCAAGAGTCTGGTGTAGGCCCCATGATGGCATTTAAGGGGTTTATGGAGACTCTCTCTGGCATCTTGCGAGTCTGCCCTCATAATAAACACTATTTGAGTTAGACCTGCCCATGATGGAAGTTCTTTTCAATATTTTCCCTTTGTAAAGCAATCCCTCCACAATGGAACATCTGTTAACAAATTCATCACTCCAATTATAAGCAGCTGCAATCATCTTTGTGGAGCTGAGAAAGCTCTTTGTTTCTCCTAGTAGTTCTAGGTTTCACATTAACCTAAAGGAAAAACCTCATTTAAAATCCTGAGAAACAATGTTCATAACTTGGAGTACAACCAAGTGTGATTTTAGTCGGAATAAACATGAGGGGTGTTATAATTGAATAAAAAAAATGGGTAACTAAATTGTGCGCTAAAATGTGGTCCTGCTGGCAGAGCTGGAAATAAAAGCTGCTTACACACGGACACGGCCGCACGGCATCACTTGGAAAGAAGCCAGTCTCTTTCGTCGACAGGTTCCGGCCCTGAAACCACACAGAGATAATTGTGTTACATAGATCTGGCTCTGGAGTTTCTCCACAGTTCCAGAACAATTGGGCCGCAGCGCTAATATACAGCAGCAGGTAGCTGGCAGGAAGAGCAGAGGAGGACAAGTTGTCCCTTGGTGATGACAGTAGAAGTTCAGCACCATGATTTATGCACAATGTAGAGGGAAGGACCTTGTAGAAACAAGTTATATATAGAAACCAGCTCCCTCTGACAGACATGGACACTATGTTTTATTTTCCTCTGTTACCTGAAAAATATTTACACCTACAGCAAATTACAGGCCTTGTCAGAAGTTTAATTCAGTCAAAAATAGCCTTTTTAATTATTTTTGGAAGAAAGGCAGTAATGGATAAATATGACTGAATTCATAGAGGCTTTTCTTTCATCAAAACAGTCAACATTTTATATATAAAGGCACAGACATACTGTATAGCTTCGAAATATATGAATATAAAACTATCTCTCTTTACTAAATAGATTTAAATAGAATGTCCTGCTTCGGTCTTTATTTCCAAACAATCCTTGCACCTGCAAAGATCAGTACTGGACCTCTGACCTGAAGCTGTTCATGCACGCTAATGAATAAAACCAACACGTAGAGGTGAATTCCTGTCAGTGGTTCAGGAATGTTAATGCCTTTTATTCTGTCCTTTTAGACACAAGTGTGTGATCTTTGTCCTTTGCTTGTATTCATTTTGAAAACATCAGGCTTCTTTGAATAAGAAATGGAGTTTTATTGTATTTCTCATTTACTTTAAAGCGATAAGCATGCTGGCAGCTGGAGCAGCAGGTCGTATATATCAGCTGCCTGGTGACAGTTAGCTGGTTTCAGACCCCGTTCCCCAACTGAATAAAAACATATTTAGGTTAAAATAGTGTGCCCAAGGCAGCTTATATTATGTTCTCCAGGAGCATTTTTTTTTTTTTTTGCATTGCAGTAACATGCATGCTCTGAAAGGCACACTGCCAGCCAAGCCTATTTGTTAGCTCTCCTTTTCCATTTGTGCAACCTCAGGACATCTTATCAGCCCTGCGTGAAACGCTGCTATCTCCTGCATGCTGGCTGGAAGTCTGAGAAGGATTTCAGTCAGCAGGACTGTCAAAATAAACTGATAATTGCTGCTGAATGAAATAAAATTACAGTCAACAAACAAAGTCATGTTTTGCTAAATATATTGAGTTTTGTCTAGAATTCACAATATGATGCAATCCTAACCCATGTAAAAAAGCAACATTTCCAGCCTCACTCGCACCTGTTCATGGACCAGCGGCTGCTAGACAATTCCTAGGAAGGGGCTTATATTCGCCATTTTAGTTTTTCTTCCCGCAACTGTAAATGTGTGCAATAAACAAACCTTTCTAGCGTCTGGGAATCCCACTTCATGCCGAGAAGAGCCCTGTGGTGTGTTTAATTGTCTGCTGGGGCAACAACTGTGCCTTTGAATGTCATTGTTATTTTGCAGCTTGTTAGCAAAAAGTGTCAAAATGCACCGAGTCTCGTCAGCGAGAGGAAGTTAGGGGTTTCATTTAGAGAATTCATCTTACATTTTATTCCAGTCCACACAAACATGCCTTTACAGCTTGGTTATATAATGTAAAATACTGACAATTAAATTCATGTTTTCAACACTCGTACACACTGCGTAATAGCCAATTTGTTTCCAGCTATGTAGGAATGAAGGTTCTGTGGTGTAAATGAGTTTTTTAAAGGGTATAAATAAATATATCAGCCTTTTAAAACGAGCGATCGAGAAGTAAGCTGAACATCTGACCTGCCACCAGGGGCTGTGTGGGTCGGCGCATAATAATTCGATGGTGTCTCCGTGCTTGATAGTGAGTGCCAGGCCAGAAGCAGGACTCGGCACGCCAAAGTAGTTCCTGATCACCATCATCTTGGGCAGTCCTGTGAAAAGACCAGAATTAGTCACTGGGAGGGACTGTCATTTAGGAGGAGAAGCAGAGTAAATGGGATCTCATTGAAAAAGTTTGATCAATGTAGATGGGAGCAGGATTAGGGAAGAAAATTGGCTCTTTGAATTATGACATTTAAACGATACTTAAGAGACCATTTAGGATCATTTGAATTTATAGCTGAAAAGGTTTTTGAGAGAAAAAAGATAGCTATGTGTGTCTTTGAATGGATGTTTTTCATGCTAAAGCTGCTGTTGGATTGTTCCTGATTTTTCCACACATACCAGCATATGGAGAACCCATATTAAATGGGTTTAAGCCTCAAGAAATCAGCTCTATCATGTTTGTTTGTCAACTAATCGCCTGACAAGCTGGTGCCAGAAGTTTAATGGACGTCATAAACCTCAAACAGGTCAAATAATTATCAGTTAAATAACAATAGGGCCCCATTTTTTTAAAAGACTGTTCAAGCATTATGCATGCCGAGGTGACAGAATCTTGGCATAAGATTAATAAAGGCAATTATAAGTCAAAAAATTGAGCCGTCTACACCTAGAAACATGTGACCAAAGCAAATTAGATCTTGACATCTTTAGTTAACATAATTATAAGGTCAAGTGACAATGGTTGAAACAATGGACCAATGGAAAGGTCAGTGACTCACATTAGCACCGTCAGTGGGCGGAGACTATGTGTTTGTTCTCAGTATAACATTCATCAAACCTATGCTCAATACATAATCACTTTTAAAAGTTTAATACAGAATCCCTTTTAAAAGAAAAAATGAGATTACAAATACGGCATACTAAAAAAATAAAAACAAATTTGAATTAACCAATAATTTTGCTATTTTCTATATTGTTTGTTATTATTTGGCTACAACTCCATATATATGTTATATGAATCAGATACCAGCAATATAGAATAAGATTATTATAATTTCTGCATTCATTTATTATAATTTGTTATTGTTTCCAAATAGTAACATCATCCATACCAGTAATAGTACTTGAATAGAGTCATTATCAAATCTTTCTGCCTCTCCCTTTGCAACAGGCAACCTGTTTTTTATTGTCTTTTTGTCCATTATACTGTGCTATTTAAAACAAGCTCATGTAAAGTATTGTGGCAGAATTATTAGGATATGTTAAACTCTTTATTGTTTCCAGGATATATATAAATAAGGGTAAAAAACACAGAAAAGGTACATAAACATCTGCTGGCGTTAAAAGTCGGCTGGTTGTGATATGAAACGGGTTACCATAGTGCATGACTGGCCGTCCAGCTGTCAGATAAAATATGAGCAGTAGTGAGCTCTGCTTTCTGGTTCACTACTGAGTCATTGCAGTGTCATCTGACAGAAGCTCTAAGAATTACTCATTTTCACTTTAATAGATTTTATTTATTTTGTTGTTTATTTTACTTGATAAAAACAGGTGACCAGAAATGCATTTCCTCATACTTTAGTTTCAAAGATTTTAAACACTTAAGCATATTTTCTTTACCTGGAATAACATCAGTCCTCTCCATTTCATTTTAAGCAATGTCTTAATTTAAATATGTAGCCAAACAGCTACAATTTGCCATTACAGAACTCCCACTCATCCCGAACACGCAAATCCCAGCCGCATATCTCGTATACCCGATGCAATGAATTCTGTCTTAATATGGTGGAGAGACAGAATTTGGCACTGACAAAATACATAAAAAGAAAGAATACACAAAAACAAAACAAGCGAGGCGATGATGAAAAACATAAAACTGAAAGCAAATAAAGGAGAAGTCAACAGCATTGTACTGTGAGCTAATACAGCTATATCTGCTTTGCTTCTCTTTCAGCATCTGTTCAAGAGCTAAGGCTCTGAGGCTGGCAGCCTGACATGTGCCATCCTGCCTGAATAGGACTTCTAAAGACACAGGGCCGTGGAAAATCGAGTCTTGGGGGCATGAATTACATTCCCATCCACACAAGGACGAGCCACATGTTAGTGCACCTTCCAAATAGACAAAGATAGAAGCGGCGGAATATCATAAAACACAGAGGTGCAGGGGCAATCAAATGCCTATTGATTTTAATGCATCTTCAGTCAGATATCATTTTCTGCAGCATAATGGATGGAGGAGTGGAAAAAATGAGTGCCCAAGACCGGTTTATAAGCGATTAAAAGCCTTGAGTGGAAGCCGCCACACACACACACACACACACACACACACACACACACCATGCACACATGTTAGTAATGTTTTTTAAGCAGAGAGATTCATGAAAACTAGAGTGGGACCTAAAAGTGAACAGTTAAAAAATGTGATCCATTCTACATGTTAGCAAGACACTGACAGATTTGCTTTCCACTATGAACCAGGTCATCTCTAGCAGCAGGGGTGGTTAGAGGTCTTATGAGACACTAGACAGTAAAAACGTTAGGATCGCTGCATTTGATCTTATTGAGATATTTTTTCTCTTTTCTAAACTGAACTATTTTATTAATTTTGAGTATCTAAAGTAGCATTTCTTAACATTGACTTTTAACTTTTTGAAAAGATGCACTAAGCATGTTATTATTCTCTGTTTTTTATAAAGCTGCGATATGCAATATCTAATTTTCTGGACAGAAATATAATTGAGGAAATAAATTAATATACAGATATGTAAGGCTTTCTTGTAGTGATTTGTTAGCAACCCTTTAAAAATGAAAGCAGAGGCGATGTACCACTCCTGGAGAGGAGTCATTTTCGAAGAGAAAGATGTTTTGAAGCTTTAAACTGTTAAACTGTGTTCAGCACCATATAGTATAGAGTGTAATTAGCAGGGCAAGCATCCAATAAAAAGCAAAGTCGATTATTTAGATCTAAACCTTAACACTTAATTTTTTGACAGGCTGTCCAAAGGCATTTTAATAAAACAGAGCAACTTTGTTGAACTATATTAAACCTTCTTGTTATCTGTTCAAAGTCATGCTCTCTCTTGCAGCTTTAATAAACTGATAAAATAACATGTGAATTACAACTTACTGCAACTAGAAATGGGTCTGTTTGTTATCACCTTTTTATTTTGTAACAGCCTCTACACTAAAGAGTGTTTTTGTCATGCAAATCAGTAGCGGTTAGCTTGGTGTACTGATTGAAAAGAAAATGATATTTATGTATTTTTGTGTTTTAGATCAGTCACGAATTTCTCTGTAGCTGTTAAACTTGGCTTATTTGAAAGAACTTTTCTTAAGTAGTAATTCGGGTTCTTTTAATTATTTCAATCAAATAAAAAAAGTATCATATTCCCAGCTACTGATAACATGTTTATTACATTGTCTACTAATGAGAGTTGATGCATGCTGATATCTGATCATTTGTCTTATAGGGAACAATCTGTACTTCTAAATATAACCAGTAAGGGAGGGAATGTACAGTGCACAATTGGAGGATAAGTCGTTTTAATTTGCTCACCTGGATCTCGATGTCTGCCCTGTGAAAACAGAAAAAACAAAAACATGCTAAGAACAAAGATGGCTTATTCTGATTGCAAACATATAAAACACAATAGTAGAACAAATATTTAATTCATCTAACTTGGATCAAGCAGAGTTTTAAGCTGGGTTTATATGTTGAATACGTTATGAACATTTAAAGCCGGCCTGCTCTTACCCAGAGGCCAATGTAGCAATTCTGCAATGTGAACGGCTGCAGAAAAGAGTTGCAGAGAGCAAAGCATCTTTATTTACCCTACCAACATCAATAAAGTTCACACTTTTTGCATGCTTCTTGTGTGCACAGTCTTTCCAGTTTCATAGCAGTTAAAGTGAGAATCAAACACCTCTCATTAGTGCAGAAGCTGACAGCAGGAAAGCTGAGTCTTATTTGCAGCACAGAGCAAGTTGAAACCATTGTAAAGTAAAAACATACAGCAGTTTCGCAAGCAGCGAGTCAGGTTAAATCTACTGAAAACACTCAATTTTCTGGCATCAGTTATTGCTGCAGTAACTGAAGTCAATTGGAGTCTCCTTGGCAAATAGCTGCAGAGGAGAGCAGCCTTCAAAGTGCAGCAAAGCTTTGCAGAAACACACAGACACACATCGGCACCAACACACACACACACACACCGAGCTCACCTGAGTTCTGACGGAGCCGGGATCTGAAAGAAGTTTGAGAACAGGCATGGTGAATGACGGGTTAGTGGGTGCACGCAAACACTTGCACACACTCATCGGTACAAGGCAACACTCCCTCATTAGTGGAAAAGGCGGACGCTCGCGTCTGACCACGCTTCGCTTTGTTTTGCTGCGCTGCCACTACCTGACAGCCGGGATAGAGGAGGTAACAAGGCGGGGGATGCGGAGAGAGGTGCGGGGAGCGGACCTGCGGTTTTTGCTCCAGCGCTTTCTTTCATTGGCTCCCTTAGGGACGGATTACAACCTTCCTCCCCCTCCTCCCAAGACACACACAACTGCTAGGCACACACACACATACAGAAACACACCTGAGCAGACAGAACAATTACGTAAACACACACACATACCTATGCAGCAGACACACGCCAGTTGGCAGACTGCCACAAATCTGTGCGCTACTTTTAGTACCAGCATGCACCCACGCCTCCCTCAGCAGGCCTATTGTTCCCTAAGCTGAACCTTTGACCTGCTGAGCAGACAAGCAGTGCTGGAGATAATAAGCGAGATAAACGCAGGTAAACAAACCTTATCGTTCAGTCACACACAAACAAACAAACAAGCACGCAAGCTTTTAATTCGATGCTCATTGTCTATTTCTGCATGAAGTGATGCCCCGCTGTCCGCTCTTTATTATGCTTTCATTAAATATGTAGCTATCCATGCTTGTCTAAGTATCTGTTTTGCTCATCTTATGACGTTTATAATGAAATAATCTGGAGGGCAAACAGCACAAGGCAACAAATAGAGCAAGAGCTGAGCAATTTTACGACAAGGTAGATAAATTGCTTTGTAAATGCATGCATACCCCTTGGAGTTCTTTACATTTTTTTTTTCATGTTATAGCCTCATTACTTAGGTGAATATTATTTGTTTTTTTATGTGACAGACAAACAAGATAAAAGCATCTGTAAGCAGTTTTTAACATTTGCCACAGATCTTAAATCAAACATTGATGTGTACTTTGACTGGGCCACTCTAATGTATGGAAATGCTTTGTTCTCTGTGTTTGCCTCCACACAAAGCGGATTGTACGTGGGATAATGAGTTACATTTTGATCTTGTCTGACCAGGATATTTTTCTTTCATGTTTGCTGTGTCCCGTTTTAATGCAAACCTAAAAAAAAATAGAACTAGTGGTTTCTACGGTGTTTTAGATCATAGATCAAACAAGTTTTGTGTGATTTATGCAAAGGTTGAACTATTTTCTAACATATGAGGCCTTCACAGGAGAGCTTGATTATTACTGAGATTAACCTAGTCAAAGGTGGAATAGGACTTACCAATTGGGTGACTTTGGGTGCTTGATGTTGTGTAGGGGTATTTGAGTCATTGTTGAAAGTTTAAGGAGTTTAAATACTTTTATGAGGAATTGCAGATACACCAAGAGTTTTAAACCTACTAAAATGCTTACACCAGATCAGATTTTTCATCTGCAACCGCCTGCCCCCCCAAAAGTACATTTGGAGTAATGAGAGGGCAAATTCAAACAAGCATCTGAGCCATTACATCTCGGCACCCTCCAACTGCAGGCGTCGCCCCAATCTCCTCTGGCAAACGCGGTGCCCAGGTGGGCTTGGCGGTGGCATTATTGCCTCTGAAACCTGATAGTGCCGTAACGAATGCGGCGTCAAACAGGAGCTGGCAGCTTGCCATGGGGAATGCAAACATGTGGTGATAAAAGTGCGATGAGCTATATTGCTTGTACGCTGGCGGTGAGATTTCAGCCCAAGTGTCAAAAGCATCTCGTTTTAAAATCACAATCGTTCTCTTAAAGGGGCTCAAAAGAAAAATAAAGTTTTGGTTTTCTCCGCTCTTCACGCTCTCTCTCTCACAGGCTTGCTGCTTCACATAAACACACTGGACGGACATGCTAAGCTGGTTTCTGTAGGCCTGTTTTCTTTTTTCGTTTTTAGTCTGAGGCTTTTCCTCCTCCTCCACTCTCAAAGCTGTCATTGTGCCTGCAGACAGCGCTGAATGACAGATACGCAGGGACACAATAAAAAGTTTCAGAAAAACTCCTTTGTAAAAGTACTGTTATGCATTGAGAGATATGCATTGACACATGGTGACATTTCCTTTAAAAGGAAAAAAAAAGCAGTGGAGGCAGCGAAGCTACAGCATAAATATATGTATGTTGCATGCCAAATACAGATCCAATGTTTGGATGACCTTCATTATAAGAAAAGAAGGTCATGCTTCAGGATCTTATCTTGTTAGAACAACCCCCTTTTTTATCTTTACAACACAGTTTTACGAGGCAAGTATTATCGCCCTCATGCTCTGCAATAAAAGCGCACTTTAGGTGATAAAATTTAATTTAAGGCCTCTTCAGAAACGTCTTGTCCAGTAAGAAGGGATGTGAGCAGACTTACCTGTTTTTCCACAGGTGCCAAAGCGTCCGAGGCATTCTTTATGTGCGCCTAGCCCACACTTGGAGCAAAGGTAGCCCTGGTAAAAGATCCCCCTGCAGAGACCGAAGCAACAACAAGATGAAGAGAAAACAGCTCCAGCAACACTTAGATAAGAGGGCAGGTGTAAGATTTAGAGCTGTGCTGTATTTTCTATCTAGTTTAAGCAGACGGGTTGTGAAACAGCCTGAAAACTTCATTCATCTTGTTTAGAGATGCAGTATTGTGCTCAATTTGCCACACTAGGAGGGCTGCGGTACAACGTGACATTTAAGCTTGTAGCACAGCTCCATCTTGTGCCACCATGACTTTGACATTTTGGACTGCGATTGAGATGGATTTCCTCTGGAGGAGGCTTAAAATCTCAAAAGTTTTATATGCATTTCAGTCCCGTACAAAAGAATGTGCATACCGCATCAACACTTTTGATATTATTTTTAAAACAACCAGAGATTTGAGGTGAAAAGACGAAGAAAAAGTATTTTACAGATACAAATCTCATAACTGTTTGATCAGTTTAAGTCTCTATAAAACTACTGGTGTTTTCAATGTAAAGGTAAATGATAGTAAGTTGTTCCATTTTTGTTTTCCTGTGTCGTCTACAAACTTAAGGCAAACTGCAAACAGGACGACTACCTTCTTATTTTTTTTAACTTCTTGCATAAAAGATGGAGTTTATTCATAATAATTGTGTTAACAGAACCTCCCACCTGAGGTATAGATCACTGCAACTCCTCCAGAGTCATAGGAAATCTCTTTGCTGCTTCTCAAATTAATGTTTGGTTTGCAGTTGTTTCCATAAAATCCATTGTTCTGTGAGATGTGCAAAGCTCCTACTTTTGTTGCAAGTTCAAACACTTCTTTAAGGGGTAGCATCTTTATACTGGGATGAAATTACACAAAAACTCTAGAACCTTTTCCAATATTTTGGGGTAAAACAAGATCAACATTGTTTTTGTTTGCATCAATTCTTCACAAACCCGTTAATAAACTGCAAAAAAAAAGCCAATTCTACTCCCTAATTATCTGTTGAATGTCTCAAAAATTAACTAACATAAAGTAAGCAATAAGAAACAGCACTGCTTATATTTTAAATTGAAGTCTTTCGCTGCCTCTGACCTTAATTAATCCCTGTCTATGGCCACAGTGGGAAAAAGTTCTGTCAATAAATATTTAGTTATGTTTTAAAAACGAGGCTACAAATATGTTATAAACAAGGTCCATGGGAATAGCTCAGAAGCTTTCTGGAAATTGTGGGCACAGTGATTTAGAATTCTGCTCAATGAACGTGATCAAAAAAATCATATCATTTTATCTGCTGGACAGGTTTCCTGCCCATGATCCTTTCTAGGAAGCGTATAGTTAAAGTGGCTTTGTCTATCTAGCTGCTGTAGGCCTGGAGTGCTGGAGGACCCAGCGACTACATTACTTTACCTACTTCACCTAGACCTTCAGCTATTTTACCTTTGTTCTTTTTGCTCTCTGTGGTTAACTATTGTCCTCTTTCTTTCCTTATAAAGTAGGCCTGACATTAATGTCTATGTGGGACTTTCTTGCCTGTAGCTGGATTTATTTAAGGCCTATTTGGTCAGATTGACTTTGGTGGAGGAATTTTTTGAAAGCTGTAGTTAGTTGGATCTACTTGCCAAGGTAGTTTTTGTTTACTTAGCAGAAATACTGTTTAACGATTACAAATATTTCAGTGGTACTTCAACAACTTCCCACCCACTCTACCCCTAGCACTACCTCCGTCACTAGTGGCAAAGCCTGACATGTATATTTCCTAAATATGGAATTAGATTTTGTATATTCAAGCTGATGCTCTCATACATTCCTCTCCAATGTATCCTCCGCCTCTTAAGAGCAGCTTAGAGGATAATGAATTTATCAAAACTACATTTCTCCAATAGAATACGATCAAAGTTAATATATTAACTTTTATTTTAGTGCACAAAGCAGCAATGCCTATTCCATCAAGGAATTATCTTTGAACCATCCTAACTTTCTATACAACACATACAGTAAGAACAAAAGTGTGATGCAGAACTTTCCTGGGGGGAGGCTCTAAAACAACTTTAAGAGAGGCTCAATCTGAAGAGGTGAGGAAATATTACGTTAGCTGTCAAAGCAATAACTTTAAAGTTTGTGATGTGAATAAGGAAGTCAGAGAAACACATTGGTAAAACACCTGAGGCGAAACTACTTATGCACTGTGCTTTGCAAAAGAGTTTGCAATGAAACTTTGTATTTATTAGGATTTTGTGAGGAAGACCGACTATATAGCCGTGCATTATTGGTAAGTGGAAGGAAAAATACAATTTTGTTTAAAAAATAAATACAAGAATACACTAAAATATTGATGTTTGCAGTAGTCTGCACATTTCAGTCTCTGCTTTGCTGCAAATGTTTACTTTTTAGTTAAAATTTTGTCATGTAATGGTATTTTTTGCTTCAAATTTTAAGCAAATGAATATGCATTGATCCAAACCCTCTTTTTTTGGCTCCAACTGCAAATTTTGAGAACAATACTCTGCAATAATTTAATGTCTTTTAAAGCCTAATATCTGACCAGCTCTTCTTCACATGCTGATCAAAATAATCCCCACAGCATGATGGTGTCGCCACCATGTGTCTGATATTCAGCTGTAATTATCATCCATACACAGTTTTTTGCATGTATGTCAGAGAGTTTAAGGTCACGTTACCTTTCTTGAGGAAAACATAATTGCTGATGGCGTCATTTAAATGCAAAAAAGCATTCGTGACCTGACCATTTTACTGAGAATTTAAAACTAATCCATTCAACTATTTCAATTTTTTTTTTCACCAAGTAATATAAAAAAAAAGCTACAAGCACAATGTGAATAAAAGCAAACAGCCTCTTTTTCTCGCCTGGCTCTGTGTCACAGAGCAATAATCTCGTCCCCATTTCCCATCCATCGCCTTGGAAGAAGTGACGGAGTGTGACAGACATTTTTCTTTCTCTCCATCTTCTGTAGGTGAAACCACTCAGTCGTTCCCGCTGCGGGGAGAGACCATGAGTCGCAGTCCTTTGGGTTGCCGATACCATTCAGCAAACTCAAAAGGAGTTTTGTACGAGTGAAGCCGGGGAAGACGGGGAGAAAAGGAGAAAGTGGTGAATGGATTGTTGGGGTACACTGGAGAGGAACGGGGAGAGCTGAGGCCTTTTAAAGGAGTCACGACAGTGCTTCAAAGCCCCTTTCAGTTTGACGCCGTGTTTGGCTGTTCTGACTACATCTTTAACAAGTATGTGCATGAAGAAGGTCGGGTCTCTTACCTGAGCAGCATGTGGCAAGAGTTGCAGGAGGTGATTTTTTCAAAGGTGTGCATCCGGAACTCGTGGAAATTGTTGGTTGCATTCTCAGGACGAATGTTTGATCTAAGCAACGAGAGCAAGATATAAACATTAAACCCCTAATAACACTAGTCTGCTTTCAGAGAACTCACATTAAATGTTATTTCTTTAACAAAAATTACTTTGTGCTTATAAAGTCAGTTTGTTTCAGTGCTCAAGCTGTCAGACTGCTGGATAAAGACGTCAAATATAAAAGCAAAGAGCAACACTTTTTTTCTCATACTTCTAATTGCAGCAGACAAACTCTTCCACGGCTGAAGCGGCATCTCAACCGATACGCTTCTTTGAAGTGGGAAGGAGAGGATTGTGAGCAGACAGTGAGGTCTGCACCCAGAATTAACACAAGAGGCTTCCTCTGCCCCTGGGAAAATCGAAGCATGCATGGGTATGTGTTTGTGTGTTGAGGGGAGAGTGCTGGGAGGATAAAAACAAAAATAAATCCTGGATTTTTAAAACAGTGTTTCTCTTTAGTTTCTGCGTTCGCAGTATCCAGATATAATCTGATATTTACATGTGTGCAGCCACTTTCCTGGAATCTGGAAGAATCTGTACAATTTGTGTTGTACACTCTCAACAAAATTGCACCATACAGATAAATGTGGATTTAGTTTAGATAACAAACATGTATTGGATGGAAATTAAATTGAGTTAATCCAGTGATTTATTTTTATGAGTTTGGGAATAGAACCAAGTGATAACAAATCAGTGATGTTTATGCATATTCTCATTAGAAATGATGGATAGAAGCCCAACAGTTTGCTAGTATTAGACAAACATGCAAGTTTTAGGCAAGCTTGTGGCAACAGTATGTTCTTCTAATAGCCACGCTTTAAGATTTTTAGTAAAAGAGGTCAGAGTTGGGATTTTTCAGGTGTAAGAGGAATGAACAGAAAAAAAGGCATTCTTTCATAAAAAAACACACTAGAATCTCTAGAACTACACTCTAAAAAGAAAATGCAGCCCCAACTTAAATGAATTGCTTCAATTAGTAACAAGTAACTTAATCATGTTGATTCAACTGCATTTATTGTGCTTATATGTTACAAGATGAAGCAGTTAAATTAATTGCTTAAAGAACCGGACTAGCAGTAAGGGCATAGAGCTTGGAATCCTGAGGTTCTGAGTTCGAGCCCCACTCCCACAGACTGCCACTCTGGGTCTCTGAGCAAGACCCTTAACCCCACGCTGCTCCCTGCATGCCCCAGAAGGGCAGCCCACTGCTCCCCAAGGGGATGGGTTAAATGCGGAGGTAAATTTCTCCAATGTGAGATCAATAAAGTTAATAATTTCAGAGCCTTTATAATCTGTTTCAATCTGCTTAGTGCTGTGATTCAAACTTTCTTTTAATGGCTAAATAAATACAAAAGGTATTTTTCTGTAAAGCATTGTCGACAACAAAAAGCCTCCTGAAGCAGGATTCCTACTGGGTTGGACATCGCCAATCTTCCCTGTGTTCAGTGTTCAGTGTTGTTGCTGTGCTTCTAAAACATACTGAAGGCGGATGGTAGGTTACAATGTCTATACGCAGTAAATACATGTAAGCATGTTTACTGAGAGTTTTAACACACAAAGTGAAGAGAAATTATCAGTTTGTGTTGCTGATACTGTAGATAGAAGTACTACAGTTAAAATCTGAATCAATTCCAACCATATTTGTTTTCACAAGCAAGGAATTTGACTTTGGTTCTCTATCAATCACATGGTAGTCATCCGTTTCAACAACATTTATACAAGTCAGGGATGGAGAGAAGGTTGGATGTGGGGATCCTCTCCTCAAACCTAATTAGTAAATCAACTGCTAAACTCAGGTGAATGATTTCCAGCTCTCACTTTTATCTCAAACAGAACCCTGCCCTGTTCAGAGAGTCAGCTAATCAAGATTTCTTCCCAACATTCAGTTATATAAGCATTTAGAGGTAATTGCTGGAAAAAGATTTGCAAACAACAGAAAAGGACTAAGGTTATGGTTCAGAGCTTATAATTAAATGAAGACGGTTTTATAGAGTCCACACATCATTACATCATCTGTACTCTGTTATATTGATCAAGTCTGAATTGGCCATTACAGAATCTTTTAAATTAAGTTTGTATTTTATGAAGCACTTGCTTTGTTTTTTTTTTAGCTTTTCTTTTTACATTATTAGAGGTAAAATGTCTTCTTGTCTTTCTCTCATGTAGGCCATATTGTAGACCTCCCTGCTGTCTGAACCGAATTATTCTACTCTAAGGAAGAAGAGTTCATCTGCTCGGGATTTCAATTTCAGTCACTTGCAAAGTACGCAATATGTCACTAAATGCTGTAAACAAGGAGTGGTTTAGGGAAAAAAAGCAAGAGAGTTTTTTTGGGAAAAACTCTCAATTCTCATCATTGGATAATTTGGCTACAGAAGGTGCAGAAATCATATACCTGTTTTCTTAGCCTCACATCAACAGTTCAGCTTCTTCATCATCAATTCCACTACAAGACTGTTGCTTTTCTCAGGGCTTTCAAATATTATTCGACTAAATTGTTTTTGCTACTCCTATTTTAAAAGCTAGAAGGCCTGTTTGATAATGCGGAAGCTGCCGCTGACAAAAGCAGTGGGTAAGACCAAATAATCAAATACAGGTATCTCAGTCATCAGTAACTGTTAGTATATATCAAGGTTTGTGTTTTTTACTTCCTATTTTATAGTTTAATTTCTTTTTCTGTATTTTTTTTTTATTTATTCAGAAAATGAGTGAAACATCTCATTTTGCTCCAGCATTAATATGTCTTGCACAAGCCTATTTCAAACAGCACTAAGATATTTGAAAAGTTAAAGGGAGCAGCTGAGAAAACACGTCTTTTTCTATGTTATGTAAAAAAATTGTCAAGCAAACACATTTTCTTAAATTGTTTGTTCTTTTTCACATCCGCTACAAAAAAAAAGGAACATTCGTTCGGACTAATACAATATAAGTAGCTCATAAGAGCTTTATTTAAGAGCTGATGTCAGGCTAAATTCCATGTTTGATTAATTTATAACCGAAACCTTGGTATTTCAGGTTTTCTTCTCTCTCTGTATTTAGGATGATAGTTTACTCTTGCTGGCTATACAGCGCAGTAAATGCAGTTCACAAAAATGCTATTTTTCAGGCAACATCTGCCATTAACAGATAACTCTATACGTTCATCTACAGTGTAGCTTACAAAGACACAGACACTTCCTCAAAATATCATAGGCAACAGTAAGAAACCCCATTAGAAGAAGGAGTTAGCATTTTAATTAGATAACAATTTATGGGTAAGGATTTTTTTACTTTAGTACAAACTAATTAGAAAATAACTTTTTTCGACGGTAAGTATGGGAACGGATAAGAACTTTCTAAATGTTTTCACTATCCCTTTACATTGTGGGAAAATCTGATCTATGTTTATGCTGCTATAAGTCTAGGCTGCTGGAGGACACAGGGACCACTTTTTTTTTATCATTCTGCTTCATTCTATCTCTAGAAGAAGAACTCATGCTCTTCCTCAACACTGAAGTCCTCAGACATTTTTCTTTCGCTGTTTCTTTCTTTGCACAGGTAAACAGCACATTTCTTCTTCTANGTGTTGTTCAGCATGGGGGTGAGTAGAAAATGAAGGCTAATCATGTTTTGGGTGTACTATTCCTTTAAACAAATCCGACTGTATTTTCTGCCATAAGGTGACAAGTGAAGTGAAATGACACTATATAAATAAACAGAATAGAATTGATTTAGCTTCCTATACCTAAACAGGATTTGTAAAGATAGTAAATATGTAGGAAAAGAGCAAAACAGAGTGAAGACAATGAGCTTTAAGATCTATCCCTAACGCAGTAACACCGAATGTATAGAGTGTGTGAAGACAAAGGAAGAGCTAAAATATTCCAAAATGTATTAACATGCTTTTTATCCAGGCATGGCTGCAGAAATAATACTCCTACTTTTTTTTCTATACATTTTGCCATAAAGGCAAAATTAATTGGTGGTGGTGGAGGGGGTGGGGGTGGCAGTGCTTGTCAACAACAGATGGTGTAATAGTGGGAAAGTTATTGGCAAAATGCATCTATGCTCCTAGAATAAAGAACTGTTGCCTGCTAGTAGTGGTTTTCAGAGTTAAGTTGTGTTCACTGCTTATTCTGCATGTCAGTTGATGCCATAATATAAAGAAAAACATCATTTTATTTTGTCAATGTTGAAGCATTGTATTATTTAATGTTGCTAAGTTTGTCGCATATGACCTTATGGCATCTTCTCATCTTTGATTTTGTGAAAAAAGAACAATGAGGTTCACTGTGTCCGTCCTGGCTCTGCATCTGGAGCGTGGATTAATGTTTCATTGGAGATGCAGTTTATCAGTCACTCCTGCAGGTTTGGATCCGGTCCAGGACTAGGACTGGTTGATGCAGTTCGACCACATGCAGAAAAAGATTCATCTATCTGAATACAATGTTTGGAGAGGGCGACACCCCTTTGTGTCACTTTCATTTCTGTCATCGTTGAATCACAACAGACAAGAATAACAAGATGAGCAACGTGTTGTGCATTAACAGTGGGACCAAATGCAGCTGAGATGATCACATTGCTGCCCTTTGTGCTGTCCCAGGCAGACCGGCAGATAGAAAACATACTCACATGGCCATGCCGAACTGCTCCAGCCACTTCTTTTTCAGCTCTTTGGTCTTGAAGAAAAACTCAAAGCCATTCTGGCCCTGGTTGTGAGTGAGGTAGAATCCATGGGACCACTAGGACAGAAAAAGACAAACAAAAAAATATTCAAGGCAGGAGATTAAACAACAGTGAGCATCTACGCTGATGGAGAGTTGGGGAGAGGCGACGGAAAGACAGATGGGGACAAAGGGATGCAAAATGAAGGAGGGATGCCTTGGGGAGAGCAAGCTCAAAGGCAGAGGGGGTGGAGAGAGCGAATGGAGCGATGCAGAGGATGAGTGTTAAACAGAGAGAGGGAAAAAATGAGTTAGTTAACTGTGGCACACCGCTGCTGGGTTTCAAACAGCATGCATAGACCAGAGCAGTGAGTGGGCCTCTAATCTGCAACAATTATCACTTTAAAGGTTAAATATCAGCCCATTAGCTTCTGTGCCGACTCGGGGATCTGTGTTCTTAGACGGCAAAGCAAAGCGGATGATTGTCGGATGCACTTTTTATGACTGCTGATCGTGGTTTATTGAACTCGGCAATGAAGGTTAAACTGAGCCGGGTTCACTGGGCGGTTAGAAAAGAGCAGCGGCATATTGCTTCCACTCAATAAATAAAGAAAAGGAAAGCATTGCTTCAAACATGGATTCCCAGTGGACCCACTGGGTAGTGGCAGTGCCTTCCTGTCAATTTCTAAGAGGAAAAGAAAGAGAAAAACATTTTTTTTTATCTTTTTGTATAAAGAGGTTTGCAGAGGATGCTACTGAAATACTATTACCTTGCATTATAAAGTCATGGAGTGACTTAGTAAACCCTAAAGAATCCTTTTTAGCAGTATTGTGGAGGAGGACAATATTGCCTCAGTTTCCTATGGACACTAATTTCTTCTGCGTTCGCCTTAGGTCCCACACAGAATTACAATCAGACTGAAACCTGGACTTATACTGGACCATTGCAACACTTTGATTACTTCCTGTTCTATAACCTTCTGTAGTGGTTGTGATCATCGTCTTAGAGCTTGACAAAATATCAGACATGCTTTATTATATTTTAGATGGATAGACACATAAAATGGAGTTTAGCTTATAATTGAAAAATAAACTCCCAGTCCTTTGATTTTTATAACAACCCCAGATCCTCAACCCTCCACTGCTGTGCTTTACAGTTGCCATGAGGAATTGTATCTGTGATATCTAAGCACAGACCTTCAAGTGTAGGCGTATTCATATATATTTTTTCAAATGAAGGCTGTTTCCTGAAAACTATTCTAAACAAGGAAACTGAGAAAATAACCTTCGAATTTCACCCAGATTAAAAGATGGCAACAGCTGCCTCTAGAAGGAGATTAGCGATTCATTTTCTCTTTTCGATGTGGGAACACAAACCTGTATGATTCATAAGGCATGTTCCCACCATGCCTTATGAACAGAAAATGTCTACAGCAGTATCCAACTGCTGTTTGGCATTTAAAATCCTATAAAGAGCAGCAGGGGTGTAGATAGGGTTGCCAACTCCCTGGGAAAAAAAAAAGGGACACCATGTGCGTGCAAGCTGACCCGATTGTTTTTACCCCTCCTGGCGTGGGGATTTTTTTTTTACCTCACTTTGTGTGTGAAAAGATTTTTTTAACTATTTGACTCAAATCTGCATTAAATTTGATGCATATTTGTGAGTGACATGAGCAATTTACTGACAAAATAACAAATAACAAAAAAATAACAAAAAATAACAAACTTTTCTGAATACAATAAGTGTCTAAAACATAAGCCTGTTCTGCTTAACTTCAAACTGTAAAAATTTATATAAAACAATAAATAATAGTGCACATTTTTGGTGCAACAGCAAACTTGTGCAAACTTGTAAACATATTTGTGCATTAAATGCAATGACTGTAGGCTACAGTTGTAAAACAGAAAAATAAAATCAAAAATCATTAGCTCAATGCAACTTTATGTGCCTTGTTGTCTCCCGTTATCAACCAATGGGATGAGCTTATTCTTGATCGTTACATATATGTTGTCAGTTCATTGGTCACAGCGCAGGACAGGGTCCAGGAACGAGTTTACCGTAAGTTTTGTATCTAACAGGCACTTGTTCTCCATTAGCTTTTTACTGACAGTTTTTTTGCTCTCACAGTAATGCGGGACAAAGTTTGTTCCTTTTCCACTAAATACTGGACAGGTACTTTTATTTCTAAATACAGAATAATTCTGTTTTTTCAAGGGACGGTTGGCAACCCCAGGTGTAGATAGCTTTTAATGTTTTTGGACAAATAAACTTTATTTCCCTCTGTTTTGGCACTTCTAAGGGTGTTTAATGAAATACTTTATGAACTGGTAGGCTGGCCGTCACTAAGTCTACGTAGACAACTTAATTTTTATATTTTTCTATACAAGGCCATGTTGGCTAAACTGCCGGCATATTTATGTAATCTCCTCAAGCTAAATTCCAGCCATTTTCATCTCCGTTCCACCAGGTGGCGCTCTTACCAGGTTCCAATGGTTTTTACTGAGCTGGGGAAGAAATCCTTCTCTTACTTTGCTCCATGGTTCTGGAATAATTTGCAAAACTTGCTCCATTTAAATGATCTAGTCCCATTGAATGAATTTACGGCCATGTTAAAATGTCATGTAATTCAAAAATGTAACTGCCCTATGTGACCTGTCTTTTCCTCTATGTGAGATTTTGTCTATGTTGTATTTCTGTTTGTATTTTAACTGGTGTGCCGTCTTGGCCAGGTCTCCCTCGAAAAAGAGATTTCAATCTCAAGGGACTTCCTGGTTAAATAAAGGTTAAATAAATAAATAAAAAAATAAATAAAATTCCAATTGGTATAAGAGCAAACTAGAAATAACTTGGAGTTCTTTTTTACCATCTAGCATGAACCTTTAAGATTGTAGCCGTGCTATCTTAATTTCAAGCTACCAAACTTTTTCTTTAGTTCTTCTAATTGAAAAAACCTGAGAAGATTAGCCTTAATGTGGAGCTATTAAAAACATCTGAGACTTGCTTTTTAAGTGTTGAAGGTTTTTTCGAGGGTTTGAGGCTTTAAATATTTTTGTGAGGCAATCCATGCTGCACATTTGGCCCTTAAGCAAAAAGAGTTAATGAAGATAGACAATTTCTATCATGATATTTTGTATTTTAATTTTATATCTTCACAAAGTAAAAAATTAAAATAATATTTTATGTTTATCGGCCTTCCTTTTTAGTAGTTAGTCATATTTTGTACTTTTTTTTAAACATAAAACAGATATTAGTACAACTTTTGACTTAACTTGGTTTGTTACAGTTGTTGCAACGGTTATTTTTGTTCTGGGAATCGACCAAAAACATTCTCCGGGCCAAAAATTATCAAAACTTTCTTCCATTAAAGGAAGGGAACTGAAAACGGCTTTAAAAAAACATCAGATACCTCTTTTTTTCAGACTTACAGATATTCGTTCTTTTTTACTTTGCTTCATTAAAACATTGACTATTTACCTCCAACAAGGAGGTTGTGTTTTTCGGAGAGTTTTGTGCATGTGTTTGTCTGTCCGTTTACAGCATAACTTGAAAAATTATGTAAGGATTTTAATGAATTTTTTAACAAAGAAGCACTTCAGTCCAAGGAACAATTCATGACATTTTGGTGAGGATCCGGATCACCATCTGGATCCAGAATTATTTTTGAAAGATTCTTGGACTACAGGTATTAACTTAAGTGTGTCAGGGAAATAAGCTACTTGGCAGAAGTTTGCTCTCTCCAAGTGCTTTTCTAGTTAATAATATTTTTTGTTGCTAAAACTGAAAAAAAAATTACATGGAAATTTGTCTTTCCTTTTTTAATTGGGAAGAAGCGGACCCCTAATTACTTTCTAATTGGATATTTTGGCACACAGTACAAAAATTGGACAGCACAGCTCTAGAGCTACTGTACCAAACTGCCATCCAGTCAGTAAGTGAAAATTTTTCTTTAGATTTTTAATAAAAAGAAAAAAAAAGTAACACCACAACTAATCTTTAAAAAAACTGACCCGAATAGTGCTAACTACTAAAACCAAAACATTATGCCAAAATACATTTAAACATGATTTAGAAAGATAAACTGATTATTCTTTTCTTTTTAACTGCTATTTATTCTTTTATGAAGTCCTTGGATGTCTGAATATTTTCTGGAAAACCATTTTACCTCCACATAATCTGCATTCAAACACTGCTTTTACAATGAAGGTGCTCATTTCTGCAACCTTCAAGCAGCCGCCATCATCTCCATCACAGCAAACACAAATATAGCAGCAAAGAAAATGCGTAACATTCTTCATGTCAGAGGTGAACGACGTTAAAACGGCTGCAACCTTCATAAATATAATCCTGTAAACCCATATGGGTCTAAGCCCTCGGTGTCTGCTATTACTGCGTCATTATTACCCAAATCAATGCTTCCTGGCACGCCTTGGATATCATTCCTCATTATGATTGGCAATATTTTCCCCCAGTTGGCACTTTGTATTCACTGTGTGTACAAGAGTAGTCAGGCCCAGAACGAGGTTTAATGATAGCACCATCTGGGAGGAGGCAGGCTGCTCCAGTCTGACACTGTTTCAGAAAGATGCGGAGGGGAAAAATGAATAAGAGAATGTAAAACAAGAGCAGGAACAAGCATGTACCAAATTATTTAGGACTGTTTTCTGTTAATTATTTTGTTGTTCTAGTTAGGAGCCTGAAAGGTTTTTGCCTGTAGCTCATTTTAGGAGCCCACTGGGGGATTCAGAGCACAGAAGGCGACAGCGGGGTGGAGAGACTGCTACAGGTGCTAATAAAACCCTATAAAGAAGCATGTTAAGTTAATTTTCATTCAGTTTTATGAACCTGAGTATATCTGACAAATGGTTATGGCAGTTCATTATACAGAAATAGCACTGCTAATTGGTTTGTCAGGAGTCCAACGTGGTCTCCGAGCTTTGCTGACTCAGTTATAAAGAAGCAATAACGGGCTCGACGTCGCAGAACTCACCTTCATTACGGCGTTCGACTCGTTAGGTGCTGCTTGTTTTCTTTCTTTTTATTTTACAGAGAGTTAATAGTGTAATATTCTTATTATTTTATCCATTTTACAAGCTAAAAATTACAGCAAAACTATAAAAGTGCCTATTTGACTGTGTCCTGCTGGGACAAACTACATGGCATGCAGCTGTTTGTGAAATTTAATACCATGGAAAGCTCTTTAAGCTGTCGTGAAACAATAGTAAATCACAGCTAAAGTGGGACAGAGTCTTACTGAAGTACCGCAGTATAACATTACAAGCAAAGACTCTCAGAAATATGTTCTTTTATATTGATTATTACTCCCCACCAATCATATGTACAAGAGGTTATGATCTGAAACAAAAGCTTACATACAATCCACATGATATATCACAGACATGTTTAATCTCATGCAGTTATAGTTTAAGAAATCATCTTAAAAGCTTCTTTACAAGAAGAGTTCTGGAAAGATTTATCTACGTCTCTCTGCTGTGAAATAACTACCTTTTGCCAAAATGCTAATTTACTGCTTTTATAATTGGCAAAAACAGTCTTCACCACTCTCGCAGTTACTTTTGGAATAAGCAAAGAGAAAAACAAAATAAACTGGCTGACAGAAAGATTTCCACTGTAGAAGCCAAAACGAAAGACTTGTTTCATGGCAGATTTAGGAGAGCCGCTCTTGCCAACATGTTAATACCTCTTGAACTTTTTCATGTTTTTCCCACTAAACCAAAAACCACTAAACCACAAACTTTGACTTTTTTGTGAATTTATTATATTGAAGACCAACAGAAAACCTTAAGAGGCAGTGGGCTGCAGCATTGAGCAGTGCAGCTTGGGGATAAGGATCTTGATAAGGAATCCAGCCTTAGGTTTGAACCAGCAATCTTACAACAGTATTTTATTTTTTTTATTTTCTTGAGTCTGTCACTTATTCTGTTATTTTTATACACTTTTCCAAAGTTGCTATAACCTTCTGCTGCTTCTATAACACCACAATTTATCCGTTGTGGGACAATAAAAGAAAATGTCTATTCTAATCTATTCTATTAACAGAATAGTATAGATCTATTCTTCTCACATATAAAGCCTTAAATATGATTGTTCCTTATGTTCCTAACAGAGCACTTCGCTCTCAATCCGCAGATTTACTAGTGGTTCCTAGAATTTCTAAAAGTAGAACGGGAGGCAAAACTTTTACTTATCAGGCTCCTCTCCTGTGGAACCAACTACCAGTTTTAGTCTGTGAGGCAGACACCTTGTCTACTTTTAAGGTTGGGCTTAAAACTTTCCTTTTTGATAAAGCTCATAGTTAGAGTGGCTCTGAGCTATCTCTATAGTTATGCTGCTATAGGCTTAGACTGCTGGAGGACATAGGGATCCCTATTTCATCATTCTGCTTCATTCTGTCTCCATTCTCTTACTCTGAAGAGTTGGCCTCGGCAGATGGCTACTCACACTGAGCCTGCTTCTGCTGGAGGTTTCTTTCTGTTAAAAGGGAGTTTTTACTCTCCAATGTCACTACAAGCATGCTTAGTGTGAGCGATTGCATTCGAGTCAATAAGTCGATGCAATCAGCTGTTTTTTTCT